CATAACTATTTTGCAATAAAATTGATAATTAATGATACCAAAAATTGTATTTTTGCATAAATGGTTTTTGTAGCATTTGAACAAGGGAAACAAAAGAAAAACATGTACAAATATTCTATTAATAGTTAGACGTAATCAGTTCTAGTTTCATCTCTGTCAGCAAATTGTTCGTTCAATTGATACTCTTGTCCTCCTTTTTTCACCACTTTTGACTAAATTTTCTTGCAAAGTGAGTTCTGTGGCAAAAACAACGCATTAAGCAGAAAGTAAGAACATTTTTAAAAGATGGAACATTTCTACGGAAAAAGTCTGAAAATTATGTTGTAGAAGCAATAGAGAGATAATCATCAGTTACGACGAAGATTTTGTTGAATTACATCCAATATCTAAAATACTTTTTAATAAAAATTTACCTCATTTTTAGTCAATTTTAGCAGTTAACTGTTAATTGTATACTTTTTTTCAAGTATACAAATCCTTGAAAAAAAGTATACAATTGTCATAAAATTGAAAAAATCGTATACTTTTTCTCAAGGATTTACACAATTTTTGTACGAAATTGTGTAAATCCTTGAGAAAAAACTGAGGAAGAGTTGAATCATGTAGTTTGATCTGGAAATTTCAAAGATTATTGCTCTTATTGTTCATTGGATTTGAGATTCATAGGTAAATTCTCCCTGAACTGGACAAACAACCAGTTAATTACAGAAACAAAAGTTTAAAAATGGTAAATTTTGGATAGATTTAATTAGTTTATACTTTACTTTTTCCAAATAAAATACAAATTGAGCTGAGTTTTAAAACCTGCACAAAAGTATTTTTTCAACTAGGTGAGAGTAAAAAAAAATTAGCCAAAATCTTGAGATTTTGCATTTTTTTCCAAAAATTTGATTTTTTTTCGAAGTTTCGGAAGTTTTGAAGCCTTTATGAGCTACCGCTCAGATATTCAGAAAATATATAACCTGCTTCTGAACTCAAATTAGGGTAAATTTGATCATATTTCAGTATTTTGAGAGAAAATTGTGGAGATATCCATATTTTTATTCAAAAATTTTTATCATTGTCTCAATATGATTCCAATTACAATACAATGTGGGTCTAATTTTAAATTCTACACCTAAATAATTTTACATTTAGATGGGGACAAAGTTAACCAATATCTGCGATTTCTGCAAATCCTTCCGAAAGTTAAAATTTTTGCAGTTTTTTCTGAAAAATTTTGAACTTTTTGCAGTTTTTTCCAAGATAGCCTAGCTTCAGCATAGTTTAAGGTATATAGAGCACTGTTTCAAAAAGTAGGATTGTCTAGTAAAATAATAAATAGGTTGAAATACACCAAACTTTATTGTTTTTTGATGTTTGTTTAAAAAATTTTCAGTTTTTTTGGTAAAAAATTTCAGTTTTTGAAACTCTAACCATTGACTTACCATGTACCAAAAAACATAATACTTTAATTCCACAATCTAAACGTAATTAACCAGTGATATCCAACAATTAGATAACGCGCGCCGAGTTTTCTGCGAAAAAACTATACATCTCCACACAAAATCCAGAAGAAAAAAAATTCGTTTTTCTTACCATTCTTTTACCATCACACAAACCATGAAACCTTACCATCTCTATTCCCTATCTTAATACATACATTTTAAATTAAAAAACAGACAATTACGTTTTCAATCACGCAGTTTGCCAAGGTGGGGGCTGGCAAGGACGTTTTGAAAAATGGGCAAAACTTCCAATTAGCGCACTGGGATCTAGAAGGAGATAGCTAAGTTGATCTAAAAAAAAGTAACACATAAAGCTTCCACGCTACACGGCTCAATTTTGCTGTGCAAACAGATAGATGATAAAACAGTTTTTATTGTTATTGTTAATAAATAGATCTGAAATAATCGAGGGCTATATGACCATACCATTTAAGAAATTGGGTCAACAGGAATTTCAATAAACGGGAAAACGTGATATTATTTGAAACATCCGGAAGAAACGTACGAGACGACATCAAATAAGTTTATAAAAAAAACGATCGCTCGCATACTCCGAACTCGTCTGCATACGTTCAGCACAAGTGTTCGAAGGACGATGCACGTTATTCAGTTTTGCTACTTGTAAAATGTATATTATCTCATATCAAAAAAGATAATTCAACCTGTAATTGCAAAATCAGGTACCACAAAAATCAGGTATCACCTCATCGGACTGTGTTCAGACTGTTTTCCAAACAAATTTTAGTGTTAAAAGCTATATTTGGCACTTACGTGGCAAGAAAATTTTTTATTTTTAAAAACTATTGTTGATAAAAAATAGGACAAAAATCGCAATGGTTTTTAACTTTTTTTCCATTTTTATTTGCCATTTTTTTTAAAGAGAACTATTGTCAATTATGTCTTATTGACTCACTTTTTAGGCGCGTGTATAGTTTGATCATCACACTACAAAAAACGACACTAATTGGAAGAACTTAATGATTTGAAGAACTTTTATTTGTAGTTTTTATGAATATGGTCGGAATATTCTGTGTTCTTCGCACAGCAACGGGCTATCTTTGTTCTTATTTTTGCCGTTTTTAAATCAAAATTTTTTAAAATTTAAAGATTTCGTGTTTTATTCAAAATGCGTGACGAATTGCCATTTTTAAAATTTTGAGGCATCTCTCAAATTTGATTTGAGATTCTGGACATCATCTCTGCAATCAGGGGCAGATCTAGGATTTTCTTGAGAGGGGCGGGATTTTTAAAAACAAATTGAAAATGTGGTCGATCTTTTTTCTTTTTAGGTCGACCAAACTGATTTTCTTAGCATTCACGAATCCCTAAAAATACCTCATTTTGACCAAACTTTCTCACCAAAATTTTGAAACAACATGCCAAAAAGGGCGTTTTTAGGAGTTTTTGGAACATTTTGACAAAAAAACGCGTTTTTTTCGGCGCGCAGTCCCCCCTCAAAAATTAGTGTTAATTGGCGCCTAAGGCGCTTAAGGCGCCTTTAGAAAAATTTCAGGTTACCTCACCAAAGATAGATATCTCAAAGTGGTACAAAAGACGGGCACCTTTTGGGTCGGCAGGGGGTCGTATCCCTGAGGGATTTGAAGGAAGCATCCAACGCCCCACCTAAATCCTCTACTGTCTGCAATTCTTACTTATACTGATCGAAAATTGACTTTAAAGAGTTCATTTTCTGTTTCATTCATTCGAGGGGTACCATTTTTCTTTAGGTGCTAAAATACTTGTACATTCGTCTCAGTCGAAAAGTTGGGACAACTGAAAGTGCCCGTCTCACATATTGCATCGGTTGATGTATTTTTTTATTTTTTTTTTCTGATTGTTGAGTTAATATCAACTGTCAAGTTAGATCGAACAGATCTATCAAGTTAAAGTCGAGAAATTTACCTCAAATCTACCAATTCTTGTTCGATTTAGAAACGAAAACAAGACGGCTCGTATCTAAGCAAAGCCTTGAATGTTCTGACTGCTTTTTAATGTCTATGGATTAGTGTTCGCTTTACAAAAATTGTAAATTTTCAAAAAAAAGCAAATGAAAAAAATAAAAAATGAAATCGTCAAAAAAGGCTACTTATAAATTTTTTTCCTGGAAAGAAAGTACACCCGAACACAAGCATTCCATCAATTTTTTCGAAAGTTGAAGCCAAAACTATTATATAAAAAAAAGTTTGATGAAAGTATTTTGACCATTCTCTTCAGGGGTGGATTTAGAGGGGGGCGGGGGGGGGGGGGGGGTGGACGCTTCCCCTCTCAGGGATTCGACCCCCTGCCGACCCAAAGGGTCCTCCCTTTGATACTTTTTCAGAAATCCATTTTTGGCCGACCGACCCTAAAATTTTTCTAAAGGCGCCTTAGGCGCCAATATATACTAACTTTGAGGGGGAGCGCGCGCCAAAAAACGCGACTTTTTTGTCAAAATTTTTCAAAAAGTGCCCAAAAAACGGGCAAAACAGTGCTTTGGGAGAGCAAAACAGTGCTTTGGGAGAGCTCGAAAAATCAATTTGGTTGACCTAAAAAAAAGATCGTCAAAATTTTGGAAAATTTTTTAAAAATCTGTCCCCCCCCCCACCCCCCTAGAGAAAATCTTAGATCCGCCCCTGGTTCTCTTACAGTCATCTTTTAGAAATCATTTTTTGTTGAAAATACAATTTTAATAATCTAATCCAAATGAGCTGCAGATATTTTCCGTAATGAGAGTTAGACGAACATTGAGCACTCAAAAACAGTAAAAAGCTTTTTGACGTTTCAATTCACAGAATATATATTTTTATTTAGCTAGAATAATGTAAAAATAAATTGACTGATAATTACTTTCCTTGCTTTTATAAATAAATAAATGAAAATTGTGCTAGGTTCTTTTTAAAATAAACTAAACTAAGTTTTTTGAACTACAGCATAAACAAGGGCTCCATAACATTTATTTTTTTAGTTGTCAGCTTTTTAAGGGTAGCTGATTACTTGCAAGTAGCACAAAATGTTCCGATCACTGTTAATTTTGCAAAAAAAATCTGTAGTTTTTTTGATGAAGTGTATTTTTTCGAAGGATAGTAATAGGCTTTTTTATAAATGAACCTTTAATTGTAAAAAAAAAATTGAACATACAAAAATTGCTTGTCAAGAAAGTTCAAACTCAATTTTATCCGCTCTTGTGCAGCTAAGTCTGAATTGCAAAAATTTCAAATCATGTTTTTTTCTGACACCGAGACACATTTTTTCGTTTGTTTTCAAATCAAATCATGACTTCAAAGTGTTTGAATATTATATGATACAGCACCCAATAAACTCCGAGTGTTTTGAGGTACGCGGCTGAATTTGAATGAGTTAAAACGGAGTGCTGCTCCTTTCCAGCATTGCCGGGAGAGAGAGCAGAAAAAACCTGAAATCTATCGAAACTAGCTAACCACGCAGGCATTTACGCCTATGATCCTGACTCCAAATCTTAAGTTTGAAGCATTGTGTTATTATCACAAAAAGAAGGCGAATAAAATTAATGTTTACTTTTTTCGCATATTTGAAAGTGGACTCTGCTCCCGGTGGCCAAATCCATCGTCTAAACTTGAAAGTGGATTCTGCTCACGCTGGACCAATCCCTTATCCAACCTTGAAAGTGAAAACGTAAGACGGACCACATCGGGATTCGCCTGTAGATAGACCAAGAGTTTCGAGGCAATCAGGATTGCAATCACAACCAGGACGATATAAGTGACTCGATCTGAAAAAAAAGTTTCTGAAAAAAAGACTCAGAGAATTAACTACATTTTTGTCTTTTCCGATTCTTTTAGGCTGGTTTTCGTTTGAAATTTTAGTAACCTTTTTTCCCTAACATCTGAAGTGTTTTTAAAATGTCGATAAAAATTTGACAACCTTTAAAACTAATTCATTTTTTTATTTGCTGCTTGTATACTGAGTTTGTAATCAAACTAGCTCATTTTGTGGGAACGTGTGAGGGGAGGGGGGGGGGGGGGGGGGGGGCTGGTATTCAAAGCTTATTTCTGCGAAGAATTATTTTAGCAATCCGAATTTGTGAAAATGCTATAAAGAGAAATTGTTTAAGAATATCAGTAAGTTGAGTTGTGCTAACTTTGTTGCAAACTTTTCAAACCTGTCTGATAAGACTTTATACATTTTATAATTCGCAAGAAGTCAATATAAAGGCTTTTAGAGCAACAAAAGTCCAGAAACAATTTTAGTTCTTTAAAAGATCGCAATTACCGAAGTGTTCTCAAAATGAAAATGAGAGGAAAATGTAAAAATGTGTTCTCAAAGTTGAGGAAATTGAAGCATATGAGCTCCGACATTTACGGATGGAAAAAGTATTTCTTGAAAATGATGACAAAGATCAAAGTTTTGATGAGCTACTTGCATTAAAAAGTAACTCGACGCCGAGCCGGAACAACTGTTCGCTAAATTAGATGCCACCTGCGCCAAAAGTCGGGCGGCATTTTAGTCAAGCTTAGTTTACACTCGGGTCACGGATAACTTCACTGACTCTTCTTCATCTTGAAGTCCATTTTTTTTATATATAAATAATTTGCTTTGGAATGTGTGCTTTTTAGAGAAAACAATTTAATTTCTCATTCCAGAGATTTTTTCACAGAGGCATTTTCTAGAAATAATTACAATTAATCATTGGAAGGTCTGCTGCAGTACAGTTAATGTTTGTGTGCTCCAAAAGAAATTATTTCTACGCTGAAAATATACAGCAATAATTATTTCAAAGGCCCTGGTTCTTTTTCCGTTTCCCATCCAAAATTACAGAAAATAAGATGGTCAGAAAGGATTTCTAGGGCAATCTGCTTTTAAGATGCCCGCAATGAGGTTCCATGGATAATAATCGATTATAACCAATTTTCGTGGTCAAAAAACTTTGTTTTCATAATCGATTAGTTACAGTTTAGGACCACATAATCGATTAAATCCATTATTAACCATTGTTTTTACAAAAATCGAATCGATTATAATCCATTTGAAGTCCATCCATTATAATTGATTATTAACCATGAAACCCATTGCCTAAATGCAGCAAAAGTTTGTAGACTTGTTCTTAGAATGCAGTTTTTTTTGCAAAATCGAAATCTTTTCATTAAGTTTTTTTGAATTATATTCAGAAAAAGTTAAAGGAAGGACAAAAAAAAGTCACATTGTTGAATGGGTCATTATGAAAAAAAAATGAATACGTGGTACCAAATAGGCATAAAAAGAATTAATTTGCCAACGTTTTCTAAGAGAAAGTTAGTGTTGTTGAATTAAAACGCATGTTTTTCGAGGCATATATACACTCTAAAATGTACGCGCACAAATCAGGGATAGATGCAGAAGGGTAAGGAGGGGGGGGGGGGGTGGGTGAAAGGGGTGCGACTTAGTAGTTTGTTATCCAGACCATCTAAACGGTTTATTTGGTCTCGAAGGTCATATTTGTAATGATGAAAACGGACTCTGCGGGGGCATGCTGAATTGCATTTCATAAATCTTCTGCCAGGGGCGAATCTGATTTTGGGAGCGATCCCAGAACACTACAAAAAACCCTATTTTGACAAAAAAAAATTTGCGTAGCAAGCAATTTTTTCAAAAAAAAACAGGTTAAAAAAAACGTTTTTGGACGCTTTTTGGAAAATTTTGACCAATTTTTGGAGCGCTCTCCCATTCAAAACTTGTAAGGTTTCCGGTGGACATCCATACAAGAAAAATGCCAATCATACAACTTCATATATGGAGTTTATGTACAAAAAAATGCTTATCATATTATTTTATTGGCAGTTTTTTTACGGAAGCTCACTTAAATTGGTTTAAAACTCAAACAAAACAAGTTGGTGCCAGCTTTGGTTACAAAAAAGCAGTTTGGCATTAAAAAAGTGCTTATCTTACAATTTCATAGCATGGATACAGTGCTTATCATACAGTTTCACATGGCAAAAATCTTGTTATTGTATTTTAAAAGGATGCAAAAAATGCTCATTATAAAATTTCATAACATGGAAAAAATGCTTGAAGTGCTATTTTCACACTATAATTTTTCGGTCAATGAAATAGTAGGATAAGCATTTTTTTCTATGTATAAAAATGAATGAAAAGCATTTTTTTGTCAATCCTAGTTGGCGCCGAAGAAAAATTCAGAATATTTAAGGGATGGTCAGCGAAAATGATAAAATGATATCAAAGGGTAATACTCTGGTTGGTGTGGGGTCAAATCCTGAAAGGAAGAGCGTCCGCCCCACCACAACCCCCTTTTTGACTTGTTTTTAAACATAATATCCACGAAAAATGACAATTGTAATTTTTACAGAAAATTTAGGTACAAGTGTGATAAAGGGATCCCGGTTAAAACCAAGTGTGGGAGAGAGTCCCAAATAAAAAACAATTTTCGGCAAATACGGCAAAATAATAACTCAAAATGCGCCCGTCAGTCGTTTTAACACTTTTCTCAATGGTAACTAATCTGCCTCATTCGCGAAAATTATTTGAGACTTTAATTGACATCATCGAAACATTAAATTGTTAGTTTATTGGGATCCCTCTATCACACTTACAATAAGGTCAAAAGTCGACAGCTTTTAATTCATACGGGTCAAAAGTTAGACAAACTCAAAATTTACCAATCAGAATTGGGAACAGAAAGAAAACTCAGGAAAAAACTACTAATTTTTTATTTCTTAAGTTTGCATCTTTTTCTCAACTTTGATTATTTAATGTAGTATTTGTCTACTTTTCAATATCGACGTGTCAATTTAACGACTTGTCAACTTTTTGCTACGTAACCATCACATATGTACCAAAAATCACATAAAATGACACACGTATTTTCATATAATAATCACATACAATGACAATTGTAACTTGCACATAAAAATCACTGAATTTGACAAACGTAATTTTAACATAAAAAACTTGTAAGTTGGCGAACGTAATTTTCATATAAAAATCACATAAAATGACAAATGTGTGTTTCACATAAGAATCACATAAAATGACAAATTTAAATTTCACATTAAAGTCAGATAAAATGACCAACGTAATTTTAACATAAATAGCACGTAGGATCCCTCACTCATTAAAAAAGGAAAATAATCAATTTTATTATAATTTTAATCGTACTTTTGCAAAATTATAATTAATTATAAGCGCCAATTTTAGATGTTTAAACGATTTATACGGTCATTTTATGTGACTTTTGGTGACTTTTTAATTAATTTTTTAATAAACATTTATGGTGACTTTTTAATAAATTATAATCAATTATAATTGATTATAATTTTTCCGAAATTCTCCTATAATCTCTTGTAAACTGGTATAAATTATTATAATATATTTTAATCCTTTTTCTATCAAATTTTTATTTCACAAGAAAAATCAATCATAATGGATTATAATTTAGCTATTCTGCTAAAAACAGTAAAAAATCAATTACAAGTGAGAGGGTTCACCTAAACCCTATCAAGGTTCCATTGATTTCAAGATTCCCCAAGGCATTTAAAAGACAGTTTTTTGGTCAAATTTTAAGCGCCGCAGCCAAAACTTTGAAAAAAACGGGCCAAAAAAGGCAATTTTTGGCTATTTTTGGAAAAGTTTGACCAAAAAATTGCTTTTTTTCCGGCGCGCAGCCCCCGCAAAATTATTATTCATTGGCACCGTCAAAAAACTTTAGGGCAAACTTTATGGGGACCTAAAATAGTGGGGGGCTCAAAATAGTGGGGAAGGATCCAAAAAGTCTACCCATTGCCCCCCCCCCCCCCTCCCCCAGTATTTCGAGATCCTTTTTGAGGTCCCCCTTCCTATATCCGCTGATCGCTACAAGTACAAAATTACAGTTTCTTTTAGTTCGGTAACCAACTGAAAAGCACACAAAACAAATAAAACTGAAACGAAATGAAGCGATGACAAATTTGGTGCATAAAAATGGATTATAATCCATTTTAATGGATTATAACTCAATAAAATTTGAGAAAAAAAACTTTCGTAAAATTATCGATTATAACGATTTGTGTTCGAAAAAAAGTAATATTATAATCCATTTTTAATCGATTACGATCAATTCTTTTTGAAATTTGTGGAGACTGTTTATAAAAATCCATTATAATCTATTATTTTCTCTTTTTACTGAGTGCGGGATGACAAACGTAATTTTCACATTTAAAGTCACATAAAATGACAAAACCCTGTTTTCACATAAAAATCAAATAATATGACAAACATAATTTTCATATAAAAAACCCAAAAACTGACAAAAGTTTTTTCACATAAAAATCACATAAAATGATGAGCGTAAATTTCACATGAAAATCACATCAAATGAAAAACGTAATTTTTTGTGTGTAGCTGGAAATTGTTTACTAAAAAAATCCGTGGATGGAAATTGCAGCCCCGTTTTTTATAGAGATTTTATCGATTTTACCTTATAAAAACAAAAAAAAATCTCAACACAAAAACTCATGTTTATTTGTGGAACCTTTGTTAAGAAACTGAGTCTAGATTCTAGACTCAAGACGACATTATATATCAAAAATACAATTGCTATATACGTGGTGGTCATTAAACTTGAAGAATCTCATCCTACCTGTGGCTCTGTTCATATTTATGCAGTCTGTCAATGCGTGCTGTTCTCTTGAATTATTTGTTGAGTTATTTGGACCTTAAGACAAAGAAAAGTAAAACAGTGAATGTATGTGCTTCTAAAACTATTTATTTACGCTTCGTGAGCAGTTATGAAAAGAAAAGCCACAAACAAACCTGTTCATTCGCTTGTTTTCTTGAACAAAAGTATTGAATGTCTTCTAGCTCTAGTTTTTACATGCTGCAAAAATTATACTATATTAGTTCACGAGAGCGAAAAATATTATATATATCGAACATAAATCCTTACTCTGATAGATAAAATGCGATAAGAAAGCTGGTATCTCAACTAAACAAAACCAGCTCGAGCGCAAAACAATCCGTTTCTTCTTATTTATTCGCACGATAAGTTCGAACAAAAATGAGAAACGGCAAGAGTCAAAAACATAGCATGTATATTTTGGATGGCAGATGTCGAAGAAATCTCGAAGCACTCCCCTGTTTCAATCAAATGGTGAGAGGTTCGATGCCAATCAGGATCTAACCTCATTGCTTGAAGGCGATCGGCATCACATCCTGGCTCAAGCAATAAACAAAGTATGTCGCAAGTTAGTTCTTATTAGAGTGCGTCGAAGCGCGCTTTACCTTTTGCAGGAAAAATTACAAGCACATGCAGTTGCCATTTACCACATTAAGTCTATAATGACAAAGCTGGATCTGACACAATTGCCCACCTCCCCCCACCCCTTCAAGAAAGGGGGCAATTGTTAAGTATATTAAGCAATTGTCGAATTTTCGATTAATCAGATTCAGGGGCGGATTTAGGAGATGGCGGGGGGGGGGGCTTACGCCCCCCCCCCCTCAGGGATTCGACCCCCTGCGGACCCAAAGGTTCTCCCTTTGGTACTTTTTAAGAAATCCATTTTTTGCCGACCGACCCTAAAATTTTTCTAAAGGCGCCTTTGGCGCCAATATATACTAACTTTGAGGGGGAGTGAGCGCCAAAAAAACACGATTTTTTGTCAAAAATTTTTAAAAAGTGCCCTGTTTTTGACCTGTTTTTTCAAAAATTTGCCTGCGGCGCAGAAAATTTGGCAAAAACAGGGACTTTTTAGTGCTATAGAAGAGCTCGGAAAATCAATTTGGTCGACCTAAAAAAAAAGGTCGTCAAAATTTTCGAAAAATTTTTGAAAATCCGCACACCCCCCCCCCCCCCCCCCCCACTCAAAAAACCCTGGATCCACCCCTGATCAGATTGCAGCAAAATTGGAAGTTTAAGCAACGCTTTAGTGCTAAACCCGTACCGAGAAAATTCTTTAATTCTGGTCAGAAATTCTTTTTGAAATGTTTAAATAAAGCATGGATTTTCTTTAAATACTTAATTTCTTATCCTAATTCTGGTTATTGTTCCGACTTTCGATACGAGAGTAGCGGACTATTTGTGCTCGGGGTGGGTTTTTTTTTCTTCAGACAAATTTCGACTTTTTAACTAGCCGTTTTTGACGGAATTGTTTTTTATCATTCGAAAGGTATTGTTGTCCTGAGCTCAAATTTGAAAAGATATTTCACCTGTGATCATTTTTCATAAAGTTTCATAAAGATATAAAAAGATTCATTTTTCATAAAGATATATTTCGCGCTATTAACGCATAAGCGGTGAGTTAATCCGTCTTAGAAATTGTTCCAAATTAGTTGAAAGAAGCTTATTTGCTATAATTGATTTTTTACAAGGAGCGAAGTCGATCCTTTTGTACTTTAAATGGCGTGTGGGGGGATGATTTTCATAAAATACTTCAAATTTTAGAAAAAATTTTTTTTCAATTTATTTTATTTCATTAAATTTTTAAATGTTATTAGTGCTCCATAAACCTTAAAGCTTTCTAGAAACTGTTTGTTTCTAAACCAGAAAAAAATAGATCACTTCTGCACGGAAATAACGAGAAAACTAGGCTAGATAATCTACATAGAATTTCTATCTAGAAAAACAGCTTCCGTTCGTTACGGGAATTCAACTGCTTTCAATTATAGGGGTAGCAATTCTTTAATAGATACCAAAGGGATGGCGATTGTTAACTAGATCCGTAAAAGCAAGTAGTTTATATTGAAGATACTGACAATTACTATTGAGTGAAGTTTAACTAGTGCCCTCCCCTCCCCTTCCCCCTCCGGCTTTATAGTTGCGTGGGTTGATATAAACGGAATCTACAGAAGATAATTTTTATTGACAGTCTCGATGTATTATTCGTGATCATTAACCACATGGCCTTGACCTCTCTCGCTGTCCGTTTAGATCTCCAAAGAACTCCCCTCTTTTCCCGTCCATTTCACAATTCTCTTCTTCTCTGTCCAGCATCATTTTGACAAGCCCTTCGAATGATTCTTTCACGCCCACGCCCGACTTGGCCGAAGTTTGGAACCAGATGTCGGAGTTTTCGCTCTCGCACAAAAACGACCAGTTTTCGTCGGGCATGCTTCCCAAATCACACTTAGTCCCTCTATGTATGGAGAAAAACCCAAACTTAATTTTGTGAAAACTTATGGATCTGTAGCGTATAGTTTTGTGGAAAAACAGTTTCACAAAAAAGCAGACTAAAACTCTAAATGGGGAATTTTCCTGCGGACATTGGAAAGTAGTAAAGCTTATCTGATAGGAATTGAGAGTGAAAAAAAACTCAAAGTGCAAAAGTCTAGAAACGTTATTTTTGACAAATCTAAGTTCTATTTTGAGAAAAAAGATAGAAAGTGACAAAGGAGAAGAAGGAGTGATGTAATATTTTTTGAGAAGTTCTCGAAAATTTACCAAAAAACGCCTAGGAAGCTTTAGCAGACCCTGACTGGCAAGAAGCTTTGAAAAAGAGTTTAATTCATTAGAGAAAAACAAAGTTTGGAAACTAGTTAGAATTAGAGGAGAGAAACCTGTAGGCAGAAAATGGCATTTTGCTTTGAAGTACGGACCTAATGGTGAAATTTCAAGGTTTAAGGCGAGGTTTGTTGCTAAATGTTTTAGCCAATTTAAGGAAAAGGATTTTCACGAAGCGTTGTGTATCAACTTCAACAGCCGAAGCAGAACACAATGCTGTGGTCGAAACAGTAAAGGAAGGAATTCATTTACAGTGCATACTTAACTACTTAGGCATAATTTGTAGTAGGCCTTTGGAAGTTTTCGTTGAATACCAAGCTTGTATTGCCTTTAGTAAACATTCATTGAACCACGGAAAGACGAAGCATTTTGCCAAAAAGCAGCGCTTCCTCCGAGAGTTAGTTGAACAGAAGAAGGTGAGATAAACCTTTTTACCAACAGCAATTATGCCTGCAGATGCATTGACGAAAAGATTGGGAAGATGCAAAACTGCATTTTTCCGAGACATTCAACGAGGAACCACCTAATTTGGAAGGCGGGGTATTGGTAACTTTTCCTAACTGAACTGGAAGTAATTGGTCTTTCTTATTCAGTTCAAACTGAAAGATTACTTCCCGATTTTTGTTAAAATTAGCTGGTGAAACATGAATTTTAGTCACTGATTCGAGCAATTTTGTGCGGTTGATTCACCGTATAAATTTGATCTGAATTGATACTGGAACTATCGCACAAATCTCATTAATTCACTCCTTAATAATCAATTGTTTGTTGCTGCAAAAACTTTGATATTTGGATGCAAACCTAAATAATTTTTTCGCTAAATTAAATTTTTAATTGTGAAAAAAATAGAATATAACTCAAAATATTACGAGGCTAAATTGTACACTGAATAGGAGCACAATTTTTTTTGTTCCTGGACAAGTGTTCCAGAGACAAGTCTTAAAATATGTTCCAAAATGTAAGTGGATTCCACAAACATAATTTCAGTGGATTCCGCATACTTATACCTGTAACGTAAATTTTGTTGGCACATTTGTTTTGTTGAGGGTTCCACAACAAGCAAATATAGCTAGTTGATCTGGATTACGCAACTGTAAGTGGAATCCGCAAAATCTAAGCGGAATCCGCAAATGTAAGTGGATTCCGCAAACTGTAAATGGATTCCGAATTTTGTTCAATACTGAACTTGTATATGAACAATTAAAAGCTGAGCTGGCAATCTTATCTCTAGTAATGCGGAATTTAAAAGCAAAGACTTAACCATTGTCAGCGGAATCCACGAACAAGTCGTAAAACATTGGTTACCTAAATCGTTGGATGTCATCTTTTAGTATTTTGGAAACACAACACCGAATAATTTCAATATTTGGAGTCATTGGGTTGGGAGTGATTAGAAACCCAACGCATGGCAAATTGTCGAATTAGTTCAGTATTTGGGATTCCATCGATCCCAAATAGTGGTCAGTATTTGGGATTGATGGAATACCAAAAAGTGGAATAATGTGGAATAAAAAATAGAATATATCCACCAGTTGGAGTCATTAGCTTGAGAGTGATTAGAAACCCAATGCATAGCAAATCCTCGAGTTAGTTCAGTATTTGGGGTTTCATCGATCACAAATACTGGTCAGTAATTGGGATTCCATCAATCCCAAACACTGATATATTCTAGTAAACTTCTATCCTAATAAATTTCTGTTCTAGTGAAATCAAATCATGTATTTAAAAGATATAATTTTAAAGGCTACTATACATATAAATATATGTAAAGGGAATCCGCAAATAATAGCGGATTCCACTTCCGATGTGCGGATTCGACTTACAGTTGCGGATTCCGCAACAGCTCAATTGAACGATACAGATGTTTTATCACTTGTTTGTGGATTCCACAAACTGTTCTGGATTCCGCAAATACAGTTGCGGATTCCGCAAACTGGCCTTTTTTTTGAGCAATTTCGAGCGGTAAAATGATTTAGGTATTTGTTTGTGGAATCCAAAACAGCATAGCAGATCAAATAAAAGTAGCAATGTTGCGGATTCCGCGACAAATCTGACTTTGGCCCTGATGTGGATTCCGCTTACAATGCAGAGAATGCACATTTTGGCCTCGTAATGAAGAGTCGGTTATAGGGCTCTACTACAACAGAGCTAGAGAAACGAGAAAACATAATACCAAAACTTAAATTTTGTGCACCTCACCTTAATCGAATTTGATAACAAAATTGCGACCAAACGACATCTTTCAGGAAAGGG